CTCCTCCTGTGTTTTCAGCCTGTTCTCCTCCTGTTTTGTCTCCCTGTTCTCCTCCTGTGTTTTCAGCTTGTTCTCCTCCTGTTTTGTCTCCCTGTTCTCCTCCTGTGTTTTCAGCCTGTTCTCCTCCTGTGCTGTCTCCCTGTTCTCCTCCTATTTGTCTCCCTGTTCTCCTCCTGTTTTGTCTCCCTGTTCTCCTCTTGTGCTGTCTCCCTGTTCTCCTCCTGTGCTGTCTCCCTGTTCTCCTCCTGTTTGTCTCCCTGTTCTCCTCCTGTTTTGTCTCCCCGTTCTCCTCCTGTGTTGTCTCCCTGTTCTCCTCCTGTTTTGTCTCCCTGTTCTCCTCCTGTGTTTTCAGCCTGTTCTCCTCCTGTTTGTCTCCCTGTTCTCCTCCTGTGCTGTCTACCTGTTCTCCTCCTGTGCTGTCTCCCTGTTCTCCTCCTGTGCTGTCTCCCTGTTCTCCTCCTGTTTTGTCTCCCTGTTCTCCTCCTGTGTTTTCAGCCTTTTCCTCCCCTGTGCTGTCTCCCTGTTCTCCTCCTGTGCTGTCTCCCTGCTCTCCTCCTTGTTGTCTCCCTGCTCTCCTCCTTTGCTGTCTCCCTGTTCTCCTCCTGTGTGGTCTCCCTGCTCTCCTCCTGTGTTGTCTCTCTGTTCTCCTCCTGTTTTGTCTCCCTGTTCTCCTCCTGTGTTGTCTCCCTGTTCTCCTCCTGGGCTGTCTCCCTGTTCTCCTCCTGTTTTGTCTCCCTGTTCTCCTCCTGTTTTGTCTCCCTGTTGTCCTCCTGTGCTGTCTCCCTGTTCTCCTCCTGTTTTGTCTCCCTGTCGCCTCCTGTTTTGTCTCCCTGTTCTCCTCTGTTTTGTCTCCCCGTTCTCCTCCTGTGTTGTCTCCCTGTTCTCTGTGCTGTGTCCCTGTTCTCCTCCTGTGTTTTCAGCCTGTTCTCCTCCTGTTTTGTCTCCCCTTCTCCTCCTGTGTTGTCTCCCTGTTCTCTGTGCTGTCTCCCTGTTCTCCTCCTGTGTTTTCAGCCTGTTCTCCTCCTGTTTTGTCTCCCTGTTCTCCTCCTGTGTTTTCAGTTTGTTCTCCTCCTGTTTTGTCTCCCTGTTCTCCTCCTGTGTTTTCAGCCTGTTCTCCTCCTGTGCTGTCTCCCTGTTCTCCTCCTATTTTGTCTCCCTGTTCTCCTCCTGTTTTGTCTCCCCGTTCTCCTCCTGTGCTGTCTCCCTGTTCTCCTCCTGTGTTTTCAGCCTGTTCTCCTCCTGTTTTGTCTCCCTGTCTCCTCCTGTGTTTTCAGTTTGTTCTCTCTCCTGTTTTGTCTCCCTGTTCTCCTCCTGTGTTTTCAGCCTGTTCTCCTCCTGTGCTGTCTCCCTGTTCTCCTCCTATTTTGTCTCCCTGTTCTCCTCCTGTTTTGTCTCCCCGTTCTCCTCCTGTGTTGTCTCCCTGTTTCTCCTCCTGTGCTGTCTACCTGTTCTCCTCCTTTGCTGTCTCCCTGTTCTCCTCCTGGCTGTCTACCTGTTCTCCTCCTGTGCTGTCTCCCTGTTTCCTCCTGTTTTGTCTCCCTGTTCTCCTCCTGTGTTGTCTCCCTGTTCTCCTCCTGTGCTGTCTCCCTGTTCTCCTCCTGTGCTGTCTCCCTGTTCTCCTCCTGTTTTTGTCTCCCTGTTCTCCTCCTGTGTTTTCAGCCTTTTTCTCCTCCTGTGCTGTCTCCTGTTCTCCTCCTGTGCTGTCCCCCTGCTCTCCTCCTGTGTTGTCTCCCTGCTCTCCTCCTTTGCTGTCTCCCTGTTCTCCTCCTGTGTGGTCTCCCTGCTCTCCTCCTGTGTTGTCTCTCTGTTCTCCTCCTGTTTTGTCTCCCTGTTCTCCTCCTGTGCTGTCTCCCTGTTCTCCTCCTATTTTGTCTCCCTGTTCTCCTCTGTTTTGTCTCCCTGTTCTCCTCCTGGCTGTCTCCCTGTTCTCCTCCTGTGTTGTCTCCCTGTTCTCCTCCGTGTTGTCTCCCTCTTCTCCTCTGTGCTGTCTCCCTGTTCTCCTCCTGTGCTGTCTCCCTGTTCTCCTCCTGTGCTGTCTCCCGTTCTATTCCTGTGTTGTCTCCCTTTCTCCTCCTGTGTTTCTCCCTGTTCCTCCCAGTGTTTTCAGCCTGTTCTCCTCCTGTTTGTTTCCCTGTTCTTCTCCTGTTTTGTCTCCCTGTTCTCCTCCTGTGTTTTCAGCCTGTTCTCCTCCTGTGTTTTCAGCCTGTTCTCCTCCTGTGTTTTCAGCCTGTTCTCCCCTGTGCTGTCTCCCTGTTCTCCTCCTGAGTTTTCAGCCTGTTCTCCTCCTGTGTTTCAGCCTGTTCTCCTCCTGTGTTGTCTCCCTGTTCTCCTCCTGTTTTGTCTCCCTGTTCTCCTCCTGTGCTTTCTACCTGTTCTCCTCTGTGCTGTCTACCTGTTCTCCTCCTGTTTTGTCTCCCTGTTCTCCTCCTGTGCTGTCTCCCTGTTCTCCTCCTGTTTT